GGGGGGGGGGGGGGGGTTTGCCTGTAGCTGGTGGCGAGCTGCTCTTTCACACACACACACACACAGAGTGTGGGAGACGGAGCCTGTGCCGGAACAACACAAAGAAACGCAGAGAGAGAATCCGCTGAGAAACTGCTCACGGGCTGAGTCCTTACCATCTGGGTCTCAACTCCTTCTTCCAGGGCAGGGGCTGTGTTGGTATTGGATGGCATCATGGGACCAGATTGCACAGACTGTTAGATTTCAGAGAGGATAAAGCGGGACCACTACTTCTTGTCCTTCAGCTTTCCCTTGTCTGTAAAATAAAAACACAGATGATTTTGCAGCAATCAGATCAGGGCTCGGTTTATTCATGGTCACAATTCTTTAGCAATCCGTGCCTTATCGAGAATGAGAGCCGCTTCAGGCAATGGAGTCCAGTCAGGAGCTGGTCAGTGGCTGCGAACCATTTTCACATTAAAGCCCGGAGTAAAGCTGCTTGGCTCCGGCAGCTAGCGAGCACTCGCCCCTCTGCTCCCCAGCTGACCGAGCATCATTGTCATCTCGGCCTCCCCCCAAAAAAAAACCCGCAACAGACCACAATTACATGGAATCAGTTTAAGCCCCCCCCCCCCTTTGCTCTTCTCTCTGTGTTATAACATGGCGGTTTGACAGAGTGCCAAAATGCGCATTTTGTTGCTTTACTCGCTTTGGCCAGAGGAGAGAGAAAGAGACAGAGAGAGAGACAGACCCCCTTTATTTCTTTAAATTAAAATACATTTTAAAAAATTGTTAGCAACGTTTCATTTCCAAGTTCTGCTCGCTCAGCATTCTCCCCCCAGCCCTGTCATCTTCATCTAGCGTTGTCAGCACCATCTCTAACAGCTCAAATCCCCCTGTTTTCCATCTACCTCACTGGCATCAAACCCCCGTCCAATATTTTCCTTTAAACCTCTTTCGCTCGATCTTCCCACATGTGGAAACGATTGGATCTATAACAAAGTCGAGTGATATTTCCAGATCCCTTTGAAATATCCGATGTCCCTATCATATTGTGTGTTAGATATTACATTACTGGATTAAAATGTTCTGTAAAGAGATTCGCCTTTTTTTTAGTGCCTGTGTTGATCCGTGCAATTGAAAAGAACAACCAGAATGTGGGTCCCATCGCGGGCTGCAGGTTCCATGTCTGATGTAAACAAAATAGATACGTGGTAACTGAATGGGGGAAACCGTATCTTTTAGCGTTCGGAGATATTTCTGTACGTCATTTGCATCTTACAAAATAAAGGATCGACAATGTGGCCTTTTCCCTCGAAATGTGCGGGCTGTGATCGGATGGAGAATTCAGAGCTTTGCCCTGTGTTTTGATTCAGAAACGGTGAGCTCAGCTCGTCTGACTGTACCAGTGCCGATGACTGTGCATCAGTCCTGCACTGATGCTAACGATGGAGAAGCGAAAAAAAATAACGCCCCGTCAAAATAAGGGACTGAGCACCTGTTGCTATGGAAAATCCTCCATGAACTGCCATGTGTGATGTTGTACTTGGCAGTGAGAGAGATTTTCTGGAGCCTTCCATTGCTAACACCCCCCCCCCCTCCTTTATTCAGAATCATTGGGAATAGCTCGCTAACATGGCGTCTGCTGTCTTTAAACTTCAGGTTAACCTTCACAGACTGTTTCACTACAAATAACCACGTAAAAGATGTATTCACAACGTGACATCCTCAAAATTATCAATGTGCCACAATTATGAAGATTAATTACTGTTGGGTTATTTAATTAGATCTATCCTCAGGTTTACAGTGCAACAGATACACCACTGCAAAAAAAATCATCCGCTACCACTTCAATATGACAACTTTCAAAGTCAAGTGAAACTAAGGAATCCCAGAATCCTGATACCTACAATAAACAGGAGACACTGAAGATGTTGGGACTTGATTAAGTAACAGCCACTGTTCAATGTTGCAGATCACAGAGTCATTGATAAACGGAAAATACAACAGTGACATGTTTAGCACAGGCAGGCAACATTTTAATAGATTTGAATGGATTACTGGTGGGAGCATGTAGTTCCATGCATGACCCCCCACCCCAGATTTGCAGGCAGGTGGGGGTGGGGTGTGGGGGAGAGGTATGACCCATGCTCCAGGAGCTAATTCCCCAGGGATCACTTACTGTTGCACAGTTAAGAAACAAAATTGACCAAAGCCGGCGACCCTGATGCAGGATTTGATGCCATTTTGGTTCGCCGGCGCTATCAGAGAGCGAGCAATGGGCTGTACAAGTGGAGTCTGGAATACAGCCAAGCTTCAGATGATAAACTAGCTTTAGCTGCAGTGAATACTAACACGTACCAAGGCTTAGCTACATTTCTGTCCGCTGCAAGACTTGAGAGAGGTGGGGGGGGGG